TTAGGCCTGAACCTTACCGTGATGTCTGTACTGTCCTGTACTGGCTTCAGACTGGGGTACCTTGAATTGGACCATTTAATGTACGGCTGCTGTCTGTGGGACAGGTATGGATATATAGGTATTTCAAATATATGTGCAGACAGTGATGATAATAGTAATAATAAGAGTTCCATGCAGGTGGAGTATCTACTGAAGTAGGATTAGGCTTTCTAGTGTGAACAGATACCAGAAACACACTTCCTTCCCTTTTGTCAGAGATCCTTAAAATTTAACTTGCAGGAAATGCAGCATGGGCAATGGCCACCTCAAAACCCGATATTCTCCTTATTCTGCTGCAGAAACTGATGGAAGAAGGAAATGTACTGTACAAAGTAGGTAGATTTTTATTTTTTCTGATAGCAGGACATTATAATTGGACTTCTGTCCAAAGGTAGATTAAAGTTCTTTGTACCTCCTTTTCTGTTCAAACAAGATGTGGACTTGCACATCCTTGTGCGTTGGGAACAGGAGCGAGAAATCTTGAGAACTCTGGGAAAGAGCCATTGAAAACCCCTGTGTACACTGAATAAATATGTTTTATTTGTTACCAAGTCGCTCTGTGAGCATTTGCAGCTGTCGGCTGCTTCTGAAGAGAACTCGGGATGTGAGGTGGTGTTGGGTTAAGTGACAGGCACAGCCTTTCTGTCAGGGCGTTGCTCTCCTGTGCTGTTTCCATCTGTGAGGAGCGAAGCGGCAGCTCCTGGGATGCAGTATTTTTACTGGAGAGACTGGGATCCTTTCTGTACACTGATCCAGCTGTGTGGTTTCATGGCACCACGTGCTGAGCACCTCACCTCAGCACCATTGTCTGTGCCAGCTGCAGGGTGGGTATCTGTAGGTTTTAAGGACTCGCAAATACCTGCACCCCATCTCTCATTTTGCCCCATGCCAAATGGCTTTGTGCAGTACCGGAGGGAGGCCCTCAAGACTTCGCCATCACGGACCAGGGCAGACCTGTGTCAGTTCTCCCAAATTCTGTACAGGAGCCCTGTGGTGGTTCATCAAGTGCTGGTCCTGAAAGGGTTTAGAGCTTTATACCGAGCAGGGACCTGTACACGAGGGCAGCGTTGGCCCTGCAGGACCACGGGTGCTGTGCCGAGGGCAGCCCAGCCCAGGCCTCACGGCTCTGTGCCTGTGTCCAGCTCTGCTCCATGGCGGAGCCTGCCCAGCCCCAGCCCACAGAGCACAGCGGGGCCTGGTCCCACTGCGTTTTACCATTGGTTACGCGAGGTGAAAGTTGGAGTTTGGGAGTGCTTCTTTTGATTACAGTGATTACAGACTTGCCGGAGCTATGGTATCTCATTTGGCTTGGTAGGCTTTTTCCAATGTACTACTTTGATTTATTTACTTGCCAAAGTGTTCTAAAGGGATGGTCATTCTGCAGGGTAACACGTATTTGAGTGTGCTCACAGTGTGCAGTCACTGTGATTCAGCTCTCCAGCTGAATAAGATAAAGCTTAAATATTTTTATTACCAGTTTCAACAGTAAATTTTGACCACTTCAAGTGTTAACATGAATCAAATAATAAAAAACACCCAATGTTTATGAAAATAGATTAACTTGCAGTATCTGGGTGGGGGAACATCCCTGTTGCTCCCCCTTCCCCTGCCCCTGTCCCTGTCTCTCATCCCCTGGTGGGGATGGATGAGCTGTGCTGGAAGCATCTGGGCCCTGGGGTCTGAATCAGCTGCAGCAGCAAATGTTTGATTGCTTTGCTTAAAAAAATAAGGATATGAACAATTAATTGTGTCCTACATGAACTGTACATGCAGTCGTTTCTCTGGTAGAAGCAGTATGTATTAATGCAAATGTTGTCCTGGTGAAGTGCCATTAAGGGTGAGTTTAGACACAAACACCACCTCTGTGCATACTCATTTTTTTAAAAAATATCTCTTGTTTTCTACCTGAAAAGCACCTGTTGGCAATGTCAGATATAAATGTGCTTTTCTGCAGCAGTAGTGCAGTATTACGAGTTTATGAAAAGCCTCTTGTTCCCTGAATTTGTAGAAAGGTAAGATGAAGGAAGCAGCGCAGCGCTATCAGTACGCCCTGAGGAAGTTTCCCCGGGAAGGATTTGGAGAAGAGATGCAGGCATTCACTGAGCTGAGGGTTTCGCTGTACCTAAACCTGTCCCGATGCCGCCGGAAAACAAACGTAAGCTCGCGCTGTTCACCTGTGGCCTCTGACGCTGCTGTTCCTCCGCGTTACTGAGCCTGTTCCTGGACTTGATTTCTGCTCCTTTGGAATCCTTTTCACTGTGTCCTGATCTTGGGCTGTGTTGTCAGCACGAGGGGATAGGTCAGGAGATGAGGGCATGTTTCCTGTTACAGCTGTTCTGTAGTGCAGTGATTTGGGGTTGATGAACTGCAGGATGGTTTGGTACTTTTAGAAGTGGAAAATGCCACCAGCCTGCGTTACCACGCAGCATAACCACTGCTGTGGCTGCCTTGTAGGTGCTGGCTGTGTCCCTGTGCCCTCCCCAGCGCATCAGATGGCTGCTGACAACCCGAATCACCATCAGAGCTAAATCCTGATCTCCCGAATGTGCCTTGCAGAGCTCCTGCTGTTGAGGCAGTGACCCCACACTCCCCAGTCACCTGGGGTGGATGAGGGCTCGGTCTGTCAGAAAACACCTGCTCTTGCTAATGGATACAGGCGACTTTCTGTGCTGTCCATCTGCGCTTCTGAAGCAGTGCTGTGAATAAAGAGCACACAGCTTGCTTTTATTGTCAATGTATAATGAGTGCATTTGTTTAAATTACAGGACTTTGGCATGGCTGAGGAGTTTGCTACCAAAGCACTGGACCTGAAGCCCAAGTCCTACGAGGCATATTACGCCAGAGCACGAGCCAAGAGGAGCAGCAGGTACTGTGTGCTCTGTGCCTCTCTCACTTCTGACACTGCAGTGACTCCTTTTATTTTCCACTACTGTATTTGGAATTTGCAGAGGTGAGGTTATTTTCCTTGTGCACGTCCCATCTGTGTTAGAAGCCAACCAAACCCACAAAGCAGTACTGAATACTGATGTAAGTAATGATTAGGCAGTCCAGGAAGCAGCGCGTTGCTATGAAGAGGAGTTATCAGTGTCAGTGCAGGGGCTGCTGCTCCCTGTAGCTCAGCACAGTGCTGTCAGCAGGGCCACCAAACTGCTTTTGTAGGACAGCTGTGCTGATGCATGAGCAGTTCAAGGTTACAGAGAATCCATGTGCTTTTAGAGCTGAAATAATCCCAAACTGTGTTAGTACAGCTGGAGTAGAGGGAGAGGTGCCCTTTGCTTTACCGTGCCTTTGCTAGGCAGAACAAGAAATGGTCCCAAAGCAGTGTGCAGTGAGTGCCCTGCTCTGCAGGTGACAGCCAAGGGCTTGAGACAACGCTCGGATCCTGGTGCTATCGGCACACTTCTGCACCTTCCCAAAAAGCGTTTGGGATGCCAGGGGAAGGCTCAGGGCTGGGCCTGTGCTTCCACCATAGGAAAGCATTTTGGGGTTGGAGAGCACCCAGTTCCTGCGCAGTCACCACCTGGCAGATGACAGCATTTCAGGGAAGGGGTGGGGGTGGAGGAGCTGCAGGCCATGCTGAGGCTCAGATTTGCCCGGGTTCTCGTTAACTGTTTCCCTCCACAGAAAGCTCCTCGCTGCTCTCTCTGACTTGCGTGAAGCCACGCAGCTGTGTCCAGGCAATCAGGAGATCAAGCGTCTGCTGGCTCGGGTGGAGGAGGAGTGCAGGCAGCTCCAGAGGACGCAGCAGCAGAAGCATCAGCCTGCACAGCTACCGCAGCAAATCAACAACTCTGATAACGAGGAGGAGGGTGCTATGCAAGGGGTGAACGACAACTTTAACCTTCAAGACAGGGAGGAAGAGCTGCTGCCCTCGGAGGAGCCTGTTTCCTCTCCGCAAAGGCTGCAGCGCCCCTTGGGTGCTTTGTCCCACAGCAGGACCCTTCAGGAAGGGGCCAAGGCTGCATCCCCTCAGAGCAGAACTGGCACCAAATACTTGAGGGAGCCAGGCTTGGTCGTGCAGCCGACAAAGCAGGCACAGATTGTGAAAACCAACCAGCACTTGAGCTCCGTCCAGCCTGGGTCAAAACCAGGGAGCAGCCCATGCAGCACAAAGACACAGCCGTCCCGGCAGCATCTTCCGCAAAGTCCCTTGCCAGTCCGGCACGCTAAAGCCCAGCATTTGGATGGGATGAGCACGTTGTCACCTGGTGGTGTTTCCGCAGGCCCTGGTTCTGAACTGTACGAGAAGTTTGCGTCCAGTCCGTGTTCCCCCTCACAGCACAGCGAGAGCCTCTCCTCCCGAAAGGCCAAACCCGCAGAGCAGGGCAGTGTTGCTGAAGGGCGGCAGCAGAGCCCCCTGCCTGCTGCTGTCTCCGGCCCCCCCAGCAGCAGGAGCCTCGGAGGCACGGCCTTGCCAGAGAGCACAAAGGGGCTGGGCCCGGACGTTCGCCTCAAGGAGAGCAGCACCACTCAGGTTCAGGGTCCTCTCGCTGAACACCGCCCTCGCAGCACCCCGTTCATGGGGATCATGGACAAGACTGCCAGGTTTCAGCAGAACCCCCAGTCCAGCCGCACTTGGCACTCCCAGGCAGCAGATGGATCATCAGCAAGTGCTGCTTCTGGGAGCATTCAGCCCTCAAAACTGGAGCAGTTCTCGGTCAAACAGTACCAGACTAAAATCCCCTCTACTGGTCCTGGCCCAGGAGACAGCAGCCAGAATGGCGTGCAAGCCAAAGAGCAGGAGGAGCTGAAGGGCCAAATGCCTGCACACGGTCAGGACAACAGAGCCCCTAAACAAGCATCACATCTGTACCCAGAGGCTGCCCCCAGACAGCCGTCTCATGTCGGTAAGGAAAACCACCACCTGAGTCACGTCACGGCTGCAAAACCAAAGCGATCGTTCATCGAATCCAATGTATAAATGTAATTGTGTATATTTACAGGGTTGCAAGACTTGGCTCCTACCATTGTAGGGTATCACTGCTAAGGTCCACGTTGGCCAGTACATCATGGGACACAACCACTTCAAACTGCTCCACCATCGCAGGGCAGTTACAGCAACTGGAATAGCAATGCTGTGTGAAGAGTCCATCAGGATCACCCACCCCCAGACATGGGCCTCGAGCACAGAAACCCTTTCCATTATCGTTCACCATGAAATAAAAATTTCCTTTTAGGTAGGGCTTTGATCTTGGCTTTTGGTTGCATTATATCTCCCCTCACAATAACCGTGCCTCTGTAACGCGTAAGTGCTTACTTCTCAAACCAGTGTTAGGAGAGATACCTGCTGCACAGTACTCGGATCTGTATATGTATGGGTTTTTAAAATCAAAGTATTTTATCTCTTTTTCTAGTGGGATCTAATTTGGGTTGCATGATGTACATTTAGGGAGCATAAATAATTTGTGTATGAGTGGGTAAGCTGTAAGCGGCCATGTTCTGACATGTAAATATAACTATTTTTAGTATCTAGAGGAAATCAAGTAAAATAAGCAGTGACATTTGCATGTGCATTGAAAGGCTCTGACCATATTGGTTACTGCACTGAAGAACACACTATTACAGCATATTAACTATAACCGCACTTTATATAGTTTGTCTAACCACCTCTGGGTGCTATCTTAAAGCAAAACGATTTATTGTTTATATCTGTGGAAAAGGTACAGCAAGGAAATGTTCAGTGAGTTTTTATGGGAAACCCAAGGAATGGATGGGGTGAAGATGAAAGTTTGAGGAAAAGTGAATGTGCAGCTGCGTGACAGGATGATGAAGGTGTGAGGTTTTCAGAGGAAATGAGGTTTTATATCAGCAAGAACGTCCTGAAAATAAAGATGTAGTGACAGTGCTATGAGTGCAATTAGGCTGGAGTGGTCAGTACGCAGGCACTCTTCCCATCCTGTTGTGTACAGTGTTTGTGTAAACAGCCGTACCCCTTTTTACAAATTCTGTTTTTAGTTTGCATCGTTACGCTTTAGCTTATTTATTGGTTACTGTTTCCTTGGTATTTTGTACAAGTCCTATATCAGTCTTGTCCTGTAGTTCTATTTTTGCACAGCTACTGTATTTTTTCCATACAAAATAAAGATTATTAATATACCTGCGCGATGAGATGCAGTCACTGGTGGCTACAGGAGAAACTGCCAGCTTTCCCAACTACGTGCTCAGCAACAGAGAACGATATTTCTGGTTTTGAAATTGGAAAAAGAAATTATATGGATTAGATACTTAACATTTCTTATCTTCTGAAGGGCTAACTTTGCAAAATCAAGCCTCAACACTCAGTGTAAAGAAAATTTTAAGAATAGTTTATTTGAGAAACCGTTTCTCAATACTTAATTTCTTAAACAGAAATACCACAAAGTAAAATCAGCAGTAACTTAGAAGGTTTTAATTTATTTTCCTTCTAACAAACATTTAAATGACAGCCACAGGTAGGAACAGAAACACTTCTTTTTCTTTACAGTTGTTTTTGATAGTTATTTCCTTTAGCTACACAGTGTTTAATTTAAATTAATTCTAATAAACACCTTCAGCTGCAGGGTTTACCTGCACTTGTGCTGCGTCTCCAGCCAGCGGCTGATGGCCATTTTTAGTGTCCTGTTCGGTGTCAGCACCAGCGAGGGCAGGGGCAGGTTGGTCATGGGACTGGAGCGCCTCTTCTTGCTGAGCCAGTTTCCTATCGCGTCCTTTTCATAGGAGTAGCCGTCTACAAACAGACATCAAAAGGGTTTGTTACAGATGCTCAGATGCTGTTAAGCTGTCAAGATCTGAGCTGTTTACAGTTAAAAGGGTGCAAGGGAATCAGTATTTACAAACGGGAACATTAAGGTACAGAAAAATTACCTGGTGTGTGACACCTATACCATAAACTCGTACATCTTTGTTTCAGATTGCACAGTCAGATGTATTACAGTAAAGTTTATATAGCTGCATTAAGATTACAATGTGGTTAAGCCTTTTAAATTACATGGACTTAGCAAACTGATGAGTACAAGCTATTTAAGACAGCACTACAGCATTATCAGTCAGTTACAGCTGCAGGAATCTGTTGTTCATTGACTAAAGCAGCATTTTGGGTGCACAATTCTTGCAGGGGTGGCTGGAGCCCTCCCCCAAACCGGGTATGGGGGTGAGCATGGGGTGGGCACAGCACAGGACAAGGTTAAAACTATAAACCAGTATTTCTTCATGAAATGTTTTAACTACGTAACAGCTTCTGCTCCTCACATACCTCAGTTCCAAGGTCTGTTTGGATTTAATGGCTCTCACTCTGTACAGACTTACACAGTGCATACACACGGTGTGCTAAGAGCAGTAACAAGACAGGGGTTTGTTGGTCCCCCTGTCCCCATGTGCACAGTTCCATTCTGCACCCATCATGACACCTCTGTAATGAGGCTTGCAATTATATCTGCAAAGGCACATGAATGAAGGAACATCAAAAAAATAATAATCTGTACAGCCTCATCAGCAGAGCTGGCACTAAGCTAAGTGCTCGATATTGTCTTTTTCTCCGTATCACAGATGTAATTTGGCAAGCACAACATTTACCACAGATGTATTTTATTGCAACAGCTATTATTTAAAATAGTTTCTTTCTACAACTGATACAAAATGCCTTTTTGTGTTACCACACCTATCTCTACCCTTAATAACCTCATTCATTGTGGTCAATGGTAATTAAAGACTCACCTGCTGCAATGACCGGATCCTTCATGAGCTCCCTCGTTATCGGACACAGGAACTCGTCAGGGACAGCAACAGCAGCAGAGATGGTTTTGGTCCTCAGTTCCTCGATCTTCTGGAGGACTTTGCTGCGCAGGCCTAGGGACTCTGGGCAGTTGTTTGTACATGATGTGGACAGAGACAGGTAAGGCAGAGAGGCTGCGCATTAATCAGTGGTTACAGCAGACACAGCCCATCCCACCCCAGAACAACCTGCAGACACCACCACCACAGCCCAGCACAGCCCATCCCCTGTGCTGCCAGCACCACCTGGGTGAAAACAGGAACACCGCGCGAGGCAGCACCACTGCACAGACACAGCACCGCTGCACAGGCACCGCACGCTGCTGCAGGTAACGCTGGGCAGAGTGGAGAGCAGCACTCCCCTCCTTCAAACAGCTGTGCAAGTGATGGTGTGAAGGTGTGCGAGTGCCACCATCACCTTGAGCACAGCCTGCCCACCACCACAGCATCCAAACGTGGAGTCCTCACCCTGGACCAGCTCTGCCCTGGGGTTTGGCACAGGCTTGTACCTCTGTCACCGTTACGAAGCTCACTCTGTCACAGAGCAGTAGGGGACCTGGCACAGAATTAGACACTACAAAACAGCACAAATGCTGCTAACTCAGATTTAGATTCATGGTGGGGCTTCACGCTTACAAACTATATTCAGATTAATGCATGGGAACCTAAATCTTTCATAAATTCTCATCATGTCCGGTTATATTTTATGAGAGGTATTTTATTAATACCCTTGCCAAAAAGATTGCTCACAATCTAGTTTAATGCTTGATTCCAACCACTGAAGGTGGGGAGCGGGTGGGGACGCTCAAGTTACGTTTATTCCCCTATCTCCAAAATACCTAAAAACTAAAACATACCTTGCGTGTTTCTATTACGATAACAGCACACTGAAGAATTTCACTGCTAAATTCAAGGTAGTTGGCCACACAGTATTACAAGCATGGCACTTGTGCAGACTGACAGGAAAAGCTACAGAGTACCCTCTTCACCAGTCAGAATCATTTATACATAAAAGCTAAAACTCATTTTCCACAGCTTCATGATACGAGATCTAAAAAGGAAAACAGCAACAAAAGCAGGCAGGACCACCCAATTCGGCACTGTTGGTGAAAGTGCATTTTGTGTCTCCAAAAAGAGAGTATTGTGGATAATGCGACATCAGGGGTTTTTATCAGCCCTGGTAATGAAATAAAAATGCATTTCAGGGAAAAACCATCCATGTATGGAAGTCCTAACTCACTTTCATTCCAACATTTCACGCATACTGAAAAGATTAGAAACTAGTTGGATTTCTATACTCACCAATTTTTAGTTCATTAGTCAGACTTTCTTTAGTAAGCTTCAGCAGCTCCTTGCCATCAATGTTATTCATTTTGAAGAGCCCAACAAGGTCTGCCAAGTCTTGTGCACAAAGCCAGGCTGAAACATCGTCCTCTGACCAGGCCTCAACAGTCTCCTCGCTGTCATTTCCTGCCGCGTTTCCTTTGGACAGAGAAAAGATGGTTTAAAATAAACCAGACACCTCCTTCCTTGCCACCTCCCCCAAAACCAACCATGAGAGAAAGCCCAGCTCTGAAAACAATGGCAGTAACAAATGCTGCTCTTCACATCCCCAGCACCTAACAAAATAAATGCTTATTAGACACCACTTCGGTGTGGGGCAGTAATTCTTGTTTGTCTCTTACCTACCAATTTCCAAAGTTTAAAGGAATTTAATCTCCCCAAAGTTTAAAGGAATTTTCTCTCTACACTTCTGTCAAATCTGAACTGACCTAGAAGACGGAAAAGCGTCAGCAGACACCAAAACCGAATATCAGCCCTCCTTAGAAAAGCAGACCAAAGCTCAGACTTACTCCTGTGCTTTGACCTATGTCCCTTTGCTCCACATACTTTAGGTGCTGGTGTATTCTGCAACAACAATTATCCTGTTTTTTTCACCTATACCAACTGTGAAGCAGTATTTACTGTTCACAATTATCCCTGCAATTAGCATCTTTTATGGTTAACTTGGCACCAATAGTACTTGTCCAAAAAGTCTTTCAGTGCTGTGGGAATAACACTCGCCTCTTAAATGCTGTCCAGAGAGTAAGAAATGGCAAACATCAGCAAGGAAGATACAGCAGATTGATAAATTAAAATACTTTTAGTATATCTCTTCTTAAAACCAAAATAATCCCTCTGTAGGACATCAGTAAGATCAACTCAGAAAAGAGAAATAACATGCACACAATCCTGAGGTTAGAAACCACCTGCACGTAAGAAAATGCGGGGTGTGCGCATCTTCAGAAGGTGCTCAGCAATACTGTGCTTTAAGAACAGATGACAAATACTTCGCACACCAACCTGCACAGGGCTGCCTGAGGTCAAACTGCCATATGTTCACTGTTTTATCCATTGAACCTGTGGCAAGCAAGGGACTACATGGTGCAAAAGCACAAGTTGTAACATATCTACAAATAGAAAGAAATGTGTGAAAATTCACAAGAAAATTATCTCATTTCTTTCATTTATCAACAGAAAATGAGAATAATCATACTGATTTTTATCATTCTTACCTGGTATGCTGAGACAAAGTATGAAGGATACTGCCAGTACTCTGCAAAAGAATATTTGTGATTTTAAATCTTAAAGAATAAAAAGAACGTTCATTCATCTGTACACTTTCTTTCAAAGTAACGAATACACTGGAAGATGACAGAAGTCACCTTCAGAGCAGTATTACACCACCTCACCAAAGCTGATCAGCAGAGTCAGAAACGCAGCCTGGATCTGCTGCCCCAAATCCTCCACCCACGCACCGCTGCAGCCCCTCAGCAACCTGCCTTTCAGCACAGTCGCGCCAGAAACACCCGCTGAATTAATTACAGCCATTAATTACAGCCATGCTGGCTGCTCACGTGGATAAAAACATTCCTTCTACAAGTCCAGGATGAGAAATGACCAGAAGTGCAGAGGTACCTGAAATCCAGACAGGCTCCATGCTACAACCCTCCATCTGGGCCAGTAATTACCCACTCCCGTGGCTCCCCTGTCTGGCCACTGGTTGCTACTCAAGAACAAACCCCTGAACTTCCACACAGTTTTAACTTATGATTTGAAAGGTTTTCCTTATGAAAGATAAAATTTCTTCAAATTACTAAAATAATTGGGCCAAAAATTGGGAAGGTATCAGATTAGAGATTTTGGTGAAAAAATTTAACCCTATTTGAAAAATCGGATCAGTACAATAGTATGTGCAGAGAAAGCTGCAGGAGCTCAGAATGTGTTCATCTCTCATTTTCAACCAAATTATAATTATTTTTAATAGTATAAGGTACTAAAGGTAAATACCATTTAGATGTAAGTGACAAAAGATGTAATAACAGTATTACAGAAAATGTCTAAACAGTGTTTTAAAGACACTGTAATAAACATATTCTTTATTATGTTTCTATTTTATATGCACTTTATATACAATTAAGTAATTTCCATTATCATCATTCCTGGTATTATGTCAAAAGCCACAGTTGTCCTCGCTTTGCAAGCTAAGATAAATTTAGGATAATAAAAAAAATCCTTCTACTTCAATGTAAAGATAACACCTAAGTATGGAGTTCATTGAATAGAACTCTAATGTAGAGAAATCGAATAACAAACCCCTCAAAGAAAGGTAAACAGAAAATGAGAAAGATGGATCCATTCTCAAGAGACATTTCTCCCTCAAACTCCTCTCCCCTCCTCCCGCCAAATGCACAGTAAACATTTTAGGCTTATATAGTTCCTATTCTTTAATATTTCTTTATGCTGTAAGTCACTGCAAAAGCAGCGCTGATACCTAAGGACAATACAAGGAATGACTGCACTGCGCTGTACTTACAGTTTCATATATGATGACACACTTGTCCACAGACCTGTTAGAAAAACACACTGGCACTGAAATGATGCAGTGAGGTAAAAGTGAATTATTCTTATTGAAGAGGAGGAAGAAAAAACCTTTTCCACAAACAAAGTAAGAGCAAAAAGATTTCTTAACAGCACCTTTTGGAAAGCTTAGATCTCTAAATGCGCTCTATCCATGCCCACCTTAAAACACCACTGACTGGCTCCAGGATGACGTAAAGACAGTGGTTAAAAATGAAAGCTCTGCACTTCCACGAGCATTTCTGGTGTAAGGGACTTGCACAGTGCTGATGCACTGGCCCCGGCTCCGACTGCTCCCCTGTCTGCACCGTACCCACTTCGTGTCCGCAGGCAGCAGATGCACAGAGCCTGCCCGTCCACTCTCTGCTCCGGGCACTTCCAGTCATTTTTAAACCTTTTTATTTGCAAAGCAAGCTGGAGTAGCAGTGCAATGCAATACATAAAATACAGTGGTGCAACAGAATCGATACATAAAGTATTTAAATGAAATACAAATTGCATAGTCATTTACCGTGACAGCAGTGTTTCCTGAAAGACTATATGGGATAGACATTTCACTTACGGCAATGTAAGTGAACACGTTAACCCATATGTCTAATGTAAAATAAAATAACTCTAGATCACAAACATTCCTAATGATCTTCAAATACTGAAAAAACTCCCTTACAAAGAATACAAAGCCAAAAACTCAATCACCCACAAGACACAAACCAACTGGAAAGCCATCTCAATAGTGCTGGAGGTCACAGAACCATTCCTTAATTACTGGAAATGTATTTTGAAATCTCCAACTCTTTTGAACTCTGTTTTACAGTAATTAAGTGTGAACCTGGACAGCCATCTGCATGAACTGAAGCAAGTGGAAGATACTGCTTACCCTGAAACTAACATCTGACCATCGCAAGAAAACGCACAAGCCAGGACCGGGGCTGAATGTCCATCCAATGTGCACTTGTATTTTAATTCAACACCTAGAAATACAAAAAGGAAATTATTACATATGGACACACTTGACGAGGTGTAAGACAAGCTGCTTCTAAAAAGTGTAAAGCTGCACTAAAGATGTGACTCTGTGACACAGATAAAATGTCACAGAGACTACTTAAAATTTTGACACCTCTGACTTCCTCACTCTGCAGTCGTAACATGTCCAGCAGTGCTTTAGGTAACCAAATGTGTGCCTGTACACACAGCATTCATCCTTGCAGACTTCTGTACAAAAGAGATCACAAAGCAATGCCCTCTGGAGATGTTTCTGCCTCGTCCCTGTGCAGCTGCCACATGTCCACAGCCTCACTGCAGCAGGAGCCAGCACTGTGTCCATTGCTCCAGCTCCTGCTCCAGGCCACTGAGGGACGAAGGGAAACCTCTCCCTGGCCTGGGAGACACAGAGCTTCCACCACACCAACCTGCTCACGGGCCACAGCACAGAGGTTACTGGTTGCCAAAAGACCAAAATGCTGAAAGAGTTTTGGAGGACTTAAGACATTGGAATATGAGAAAAACCATGACCATACACACCCAAGAAATGTGCAAACGAAATAAGCCAGAGTTTGATCTGATTATCTTGACCACAAGAAGCCATCTGGAAGTATCTGAATCCATGATCATCATCTGATAAAATACAAATATATTAATGGGAATCAGAAGCACTGAAAATAAGAGTGTATCAGTGAACGATATCAGCATTCTTATACTAGAATTTGGTAAAGTTCCTTAATCTCAGTACTACTTTTAAGAAGCGTTAATAAAAATAACTGCAGAAGTTCGAAAACCATTTAGAACTAAGAAACAGGTATCACTCTTATACTGCTTCCTCAACAAGCAGATGAAGACCAGACCTGGGCTCATACTTTAAGTTTTCCTGATGGTAAATGTTTGATTCCTTTACCTACTGAGTGCTATCCATATAGTCTTTTAACCTAAACTACGTGGTTACATCCATTTCTTCTACAGTTCAGCAATTCTCAAACTTAACCATATATACATATACAAAACGTGAGGCCATCTGATACGCTGTTTTCATTATTTTAAACGTTCAGCTCTGTATTTTTATAAACTAAGTGATGTTTCACTACTGCTGTCCAGCTTGAGCAATGCCGCATTAAAGCCAAAACACAACAGTAACAGTTTTATGGAGTTCCTGCTCTATTCCCACCCCACAGCCCAAGCGTTCAGCCCACGGGGTCTACAGCCCCTGCAGTGCTTTGATCCAGTCCTGCCCTTGGGAGTGAAGGGGAACGGTCCTCATGCACTGCATCTCCTCATACCCTGCTGGCTCTGGGAGATGAGCTGCACGTACAGACACTGCCCAAACCTTCTCCAAACCCTGACAGGGTAATTAGCTACTGAAAGCTATTACAGGCATGCTAATCACCTTGTTTGTTGACCTAGTATATTTTTTGCCATCAGCCTGACCACAACTTTTACGTAAGGATATTTTAAAACATCAGCTCTTCCCAATGTCATTTCTGTCTCGAGCCCTGATGACAAAAAGAGCATGAAAACAAGAGCTAGACAGAAATAAAACAACTCTTTTTTTTCCCAATATTCCTCCCTTGACAAGTCAAGCAACTGACCAGAAATTTGCCGTGAAGAAATATCACAGCAGGTGACGCCCAGATCGTGTGCTTTTTCATTATGCAGGCATCTCATTTTATCATCCCAAATGGTCACATCGCCACACGACGATCCAGTGACAAAGAAACTTCCATTAGGAGCAAACGCACAGGCCACCAAAGAGCCGTCTTTAACATTCCCAGATCTGAAAAGCAGGAGTATGCAGGATGTGAATTTCGAGTAAATATGCTCTGAAGCATCTCTACAAAGCAACCTCACACAACACACCAAACTGCTCCAGGTTTAGTGCCATGGAGCATGCAGCAGAACGGAGGGACACTCACACCACTGCAAAGAGATGCGAGACAAGCGCAGCAGCAGGAACCAGGACTGAGCTTCAACTGCAGGAGGAAGCCATGAGACAGCACCGCAAGGCAGCTATGTTCACTGAGTGGTAAAATGATCCTCAAACTAAAGACGATCTGCATGGACTTGCCGTTTGAAAAGCACAATGCACTGATAAAAGTCTACGGCAGGGTAAATTTTAAAAGTCAAATACACAACTATCTTAACACAGATTTACAGGTACACAAACAGGGGAAAAGACGACTCCCACAGTCTCTCTGTTCTGCTTCTGAAGACAAAGAACACCTACTGATCCATATGGGAAGCTGTAGCTGAGCAGAATGCTTTGTGATTTATGATACAGGGTTAATTTTGGACTAACTGTACACAAGAGAAGACAATGTGAAAGAAATTATTTCTATATTTTAACTAAGTCAGCCAAAGCACTTTGTAAAACTGATCTTATTCCCATCTGAATCACTGCTGTGGAAGGTAAAGGCAGAGAGGCCACAGAAGCAGTAACATGCTGGACGGGATTGCCAAACCCAAACAAGTTTGGCTTTCAGAAATGGCTGCTCCTGTATCCTGAGTGAAACATGCCCTCAATTCTCTCAAATTCCTTATTTATTTCCTAACTTTAGGGAGATGTTGGTAATTGCTGCTCTAAAACCTCAATAATGTCATGCCTAAGCACAGGTTACAACAACCGGCCTGAACACTTCACTGAATGCAGAGAGATGTAGAGGAGGGCGGTGAAGATCACCCCAAGGTTCACACCTTTCACAAGGTTCACTGTGCAGCATCAGTGCCAATGCTCATGTGCTCTGTTCCCAACGTTTGGTGAGATGGTGGCTGTCATACAGCTCCAGCGCTCCCTCCTGGCACCGTCAAGTCTTAAACTGCACAGTTTCAGGACATGGCAACAGTTTCCAAACTCTTTGATTGCTGGATTATCAAGCTCCTAAGACCTTCCTGAACTTCAAATAGCCTTGTAGTTAAATACTTAATTAAAAACTACTAAGTGTAATGCAATATAAGGCACCCAGCACTGCCAGGCTCCACTAACAGTATATTACGCATCACAGATTGCTGACCCAGATTCATGCAATATGCAGCACATCCTGATTTCATGTTTAATCACTGAAAACACTTCCATGAATTTAAAAAAACAGGTTTCAGATGAAAGCTAACTTAGTAAAAATTAAAGCTTCTTGAGTTTGTGTTAATTTTAAAAAAAAACAAACAAACACTCAGCACTTCTCCATCTCCTGTTGACAAACTTTTGGTCTTCTAAATCCAATTCCTATTTCCTCGTGATACCAATCAGCAGTGTGAGCCTGCAAGCCCCGTAACAGTACAGCGTGCTATGTACACTATGTTCTTAAAACTGCAAACAAGGCTGACAACAAGTACCTGGGACTCACCTGTACGGTTTCAGAGTCTGCATGTTCCACAGAACCACACTGCCATCCGCCGCCCCCGACACCAGGTACGCGGAGTCGGGAGAGAAGCGGCAGACCCTGACAGCGCTGCCACTGGGCTGCTCCAGCGCCGCCAGCCTCTGGCCATCGCGCGCATCCCACACTGCAGTGGTGCCGTCGGTGGAGCACGACGCTAAAAGCTGTCCCGACGGAGAGAAGCAGCAGCAATGCACAGCGTAGGTATGGCCTTTTAAAGGCGAGTATGGAAGCTCGATGAAGTTGTCCAAAGAATAAACACGAACTGTTTTGTCTAAGGAACAAGTAGCCAAGCACGATGATGAAAAGGCACAGTAGTTGACATCATCACTGTGATCTGCTAAAGCGTGAATTAATGTTGCCATTTCATCTGCTTTGGATGTAAATATCTGAAAAAAAGTTACACAGTTAGACTTCTCTCTCCTGCTTCATAAGTGAAGCACACCACCTTAACAAGACACAATCTCCAGCAAAGAAAACAACAAATTCATTTGCAAAGGCAGATTTTTCATCTAAGCGTTGTTTTATCTTCAACCTAAATCAGAGATTATCACAGCACAGCAACAAGAGGAGGTGCTTCAGCCCCTGAGTGCTCTCACAGCCTCTGGACCCACCCCAACAGCTCCATGTCTGTCTTGCACTGGGACCCCAGAGCTGGATGCAGTGCTGAGGAGAAGGGGAGAATCCCCCCTCGCCCTGCTGGCCACAATGCTCTTGATGCAAACCAGGATACAACTGCATTTCTGGGCCGCGAGTGCATACTGCCAGCTCATACTTGGTTTTTCACCTACCAATATTCCCAAGTCCTCCTGTGCAGGGCTGCCCTCAACCCATTCATCCCCCCACTCTGCCCTGATACCGGGCACTGCCCTGACCCAGGTGCAGGACCTCGCACTTGGCCTTTTTGACCTTCTTCATGAGTTTGCCCACTCCTCACGCCTGCCAAGGCCCCTCTGGACAGCATCCCTTCCCTCTAGAAAAGTGAATCAACAGCTTGGTGCCACCTGCAAACCTGCTCAGGGTCATTCACACCACTCCCTGCATCACTGATGAAGATATTAAACAGTATTGGTCGAAGTACAGACCCTTGAGGGACACCACTCGTCACTGGGTTCCATTTAGACTCCGAGCCATTGACTGCAGCCCTTTGGACACAGCCAGCCAACTCCAGACCCTTCCACAGTCCAACCACCACCAAACCCACCTCTGGGAGTGTGGTACCACTAAAGCCGTGCCAAGTCCAGGCAGATGACAGCAGCAGTTCTTCCCTTGTCCACTGATGCAGCTACCCCATCATAGAGGGCCACTACCTTAGTATACCAATAATTAGTAGTATACCAATAATTAGTAGTATACCAATTCCTAGATTATTACAGCAATACATTTTTATTAAATATTATCTAAATGAAAAAAGCTTGGTAAGTTTTCCTATTGATCTAGGATTACAAGGTCTCTCTGTATTTGCTCTCAAACTATCCTCTAACTGTCACGTATCCATTTCCAAGCCATCCACATCAACAAACATTTTTCTGACAGTGTGGAATTAGCAGAAACACGTCTCATTGCACCTATAAACCTGAGCCCAGGAAGGAACAGACGGCCCGGTCTCCAGCTGGTAGCAGGCTACAGATGTACGCTAGGACTGAAACGCAAACCACAGAAAAGGTTGCCTCTTCAAAATGTTTTATACTAAAATGTAAACATTAGGAGAGTCCCACAGAGGCAAATAAAGATACTTTTCACACTTTATTCACCTTAGTTCTTTATTGTAAGATGTGTCCTCAACTATCCTTTGTTCTGACAGAAAACAGTGTGGTATAAACCCAAAAGCAATGCTTCAGCTACACCAAGAGCATACAAAAAAAATCATCTCACACTTGTATATAAACACTTTCAGCAACTCTAACCACATGTATCCAGCATTCTTCCTCTTCCCGCTAACAACTCCAAAAAAGTACATTTGGACATTACCACCAAAAAATGACCTCCAAAACATCAATGAAGAAGCAACATCAGAAAGATTCCTGGAAACTGTTCTAATCTTGCTGAAATAAGTTGCAATGAATTATACCTTGCAGTTTACAGATTGAACACTTGATAGACTCCTTTTAAAAACAGCACTTAGAGCACTTGTTACAGTACAAATGAGTAGACAACTGTAGGTATTCTTTAGAATAAAAGAAGATTAAACAATACCTTCATATCTGCAGGTCTAATCTAGATGAGCACTGATATCTGATGACCACAAAGATAAATTTTCCTTTCCAGACCTGAATATCTTATTCAAATTCAAACTTCTGCTGCTTTTTCCATTTGTAATGGCCTTTGGCATTCATAATGGCAAAACATCAGAGTAACTCCAACAGGCTTGTGTTGCCAGTGAGAGATCTGACACAATTTTCACGTAAATCAAACATTACATACCAAGTTACACATGTACCTCTAAGCTAAGATGTCAGTATTATGAGAAATTGCATTTGCTGCTCCATAAAGCAACAGCAGAAAAGATGAACTCCAAGCACCTTTTCCCAGTATTTAAGGCTGCTGGGACCAGTTCAGATCTTGGCATCAGACACGATTTGCACTGCTGTTGTCTAGGAAGGCCCCTAAAGGGTACATCCCAACCAGCTCCTCCCTGTGCAGCGTATGTCAAAGTTCCCAGAGTTCCCACAGCGCCACAAGGCAGTGCCCACAACTCTGGGAAGTTGTTTATGTTGAGCAGCAGCAGCAATACTACTGAGTTATGTATCTAAAACTGCAGACTATTACTGAAGTGCTTCATTATGAACAAGAATTTCAGAGTTGAGAGGCAACTGTTAACAGGTGTGGTTTTATGCACATATACACACACATATGTATATACACACATGTTCATATGTATGTGGATGTATAAATACGTGTATGTAAAAATGTACGCATACATGCACACATATATATGTATACAAATAGACACAAAGGCACACATAAAGGCAAAATAACTCTTTCCTTCAGGCAGCATATAACTTGCCAACTTAGTTAGATCAGATCTTTGAATGCTCTATATTTTAGCTTCAAGATTCTCCCAGTTTCATTACTATTCTCTTTAAAACCATTAAACGGACCAAGTAGTGTCAACTCTTACCTCAATGTTCTTCCTTCAACTATGAGAAGCTGAAGAGTCAGCCAAAATTTGACATCTGGAAAGATAACGCTGAAAAAGTCACCTTAATCTGTCACAAGATTTTCAGGAGCTCACTACAGAAAAGCAACCCACAGGAATGCGAGGTCTCGGTATCGATAGTTTAAACCAGCTGAGGGAGCAACGAGAATTTGGAACGTTCGTCACCAGAGACGTTTAGCACCACGTTTACCTCCTCAAGCAATTGCAGGCCAGCAGCAGCTGCTCTCAGCAGGTGCGGGAGCTCTGGGAACCACCGCCCCCCTCCCTGTGCCATCGCCTGCGCCTGCCACCGCCTAAGGCCGCTGCACCGGAGGCGCGGTCAGGGAAGTGCTTCCCGAGGCCGGCCGGTAGCTGAGGCCGAGCCCCAGTGGTGGCTGTGAGGTAAAAACCAGTGACAGGCCCCACCTCCGCTGCCCAGAAGGCCAAGGTCACCGCCACC